AAGAGTGAGTGCCCACCCTCAAGGTGAGGGAAAAGATGAATTTTCAGAGGTGCACTGGCAACCTGAGACAGAAGAAGAGTCTCCTGAAAATGAAAATGAACCTCCCTGCATAAGTGTGGTAGTTAAATGCAGAAGGTCTGGGAGACCTGCAGTACAAGAGGAATCAATGGAACTCTCAGACTGCTTTCAGTAGCTTGAGGAAGCGATGGGAGAGCAGCCTGCTGTGAAAGAACAAGAAGACACACTGAGAAAAGGGAATCAGTTAAGGGAAATGATACCAAAGCTTGCAATAACAAGAAGAGTGTTAGTTGTAGGAAACTCCCTGTTGCGCAGGATGAAAAAACACATGTGTTGGGAGGACCCATGGAACTGCCAGGTATGCTGCCTTGCTGGAGTACAAATCAAAGATGCAACTAACAAGCTACCAAGGCTCATACAGCCTATGGACACACACCCCTTCCTTCTCATACATACAGAAATTAACAATGCTGCCAAGAGGAGCTTTGAGGAAATTATGTCAGACTTTGACATTCTAGGAAAGGAAATCAAGACCTTTGAGGCCCAGATAGTTTTCTCCTCAATCCTTCCTGTTTGTAGAAGAGGAAAAGGACAGGGGGAGGGGGGGGGGATGTACCAAGTGAATTCCTGGCTAAGAAAGTGGTGCTGCCATGAGAGATTTGGATTCTGGAACCATGGGCTATACTTCCTGGTAGACAAACTGCTGGCAAATGATGGGTTGCACCTCATAAAGAAAAGGCAAGCTGCATTTGGCCACAGCATAAAGACCTTTATCAGGACTTTAAACTGAATCCTACAGTGGAGGGAGCTGTATATCTGGGCACAACAGACAAAAGGATCATGCACCCCGACAAGGAAGTAAATGCTAGCAGGGCCTAACAGCAGTCTCCCAAAAAATATAGGAAGAAAGCCAGGGGCCAGGAGGCTTCACACGGCCTTCAGTGTCTATATACTAATGCCCAGAGTTTGGGAAATAAACAAACTCAACGTCTTAATACATGAGGGCAAATATGACTTGATATAAAACTTGGTAGGACAATTCCCACAACTGGAATTCAAAACTTGATGGATTGATCATGTTCAAGAAAAATAGAAGGAACAGAAAAGGAGGCAGAGTTGCAGTATATGCTAAAGATACGTATCTATGAAAAGAAATACAGAAAAAAATGAGCCCAGTAATCCCATCAAGTATATCTGAACATATAAATGGAACAAGGAAGAAAAGGGGTGTAAGTTGGGCTCCGGGGGATGGTAGAGGACAGGAGAGCCTGGAGGAATTCTGTCCATGGGGTTGTGAAGGGTCAGACAGGACTTGGCGACTACGCTAAACTGGAGAGGCCAGGGACTGGACCTGGATCCTTCTGCATTCAGAGCTTGTTCTCTACCACTTAAGTACAACCTCTTCTCTATTGTGCTTCCAGACTTTGTTCCTACTCATCATTATATATGGTAGATTTATACCACTATATTTCATTATCCAAATTATAATTTATGCAACTAACTGATACTTATAAAGACAGTCAGATAGGACTAGTCAAATTCATAAAAGCATGTCCATCAAGAATTGTCTATTCAGGAACAGAATTCTGCACTTTCTATTTAATTACAAATGCTAGTTTTGTGGCTTTCTCAGTAATATTATTCTAGGAGACATTGGACAAGGTTTAGAGTTAGGACCCTGAGGGTTTTAACTGGAACATTATTACTATTATTAATTTGTGGTGAAGCAGACCTGGAGTTTCTCTTACATGACAAAATACCTGGTTTCATTATTGCTTTGGGAGAGGTATCACCTTTTCACTCAATGTTGTTTAAAAAAAATGCCTCCACCTTGCTATTACATAAGATGACTTCAGTTTTTTGGATAGCACTTTATATGATTTGATTTGGTTGAACAGCATGATGTCATTGCTCATGACACTTTGTGCAAAGCTATACAGAACAAGGCAGTTATTTTCACAGTATGATGAAATAATGTAATCTGGAATTCTAGTTAACTTAGTACATGTGCTGTCCCCCCCCCCCCCCTTATATCCCTAACCAGTTTTACTCAATAGTAAACCCCATTAACGTTTTGGCTTACTTGCAAGTAAACATGCAGTGGATTGGAGTCTCAGACAACCTATGCACTAGGTGTGAGTCCATGAGCAGGGGCAGGAGGCAAGGTCGTCCAAATTCCTACATGGAGAGAAAGGATTAATTTCTCCTTTGCTTTGTCCCACTCCTCCCCAGGCAAGAGAAATGAAATCTAATGAAGTCCCAAGTGGTGGGAAAATGCAATTTCCCATGAAAGGAAGTAAAGTTTCTGTGATCTAAACTCATTATCTTTAACGGCCTGAAGGACCTTACAGTTGGTGAGCTTCCCAAAACAAGTTAGAACAGGTTATTAGGAACATCTGAAACTCTGCTTCACTGATCGGGACGAATGAGAAAGGTTGCTTGTTCGGTTTATCAAGCAAATCAACAAGATGGCTGTTACAACTCCAAAGTATGTCTTTACCTTAACATGCTTGAAACCTAACTTATACTTCACTTTGTAGTTGGGATTACTCATTGGTTCAAGATCATGCCTCAGTCTTGTGCATAACGTGTTGACAGAATCATTAAACATATTCTGTGCAGTATCTGTATAAAATCTTTTAAATATAAGTCCATATATGTTTACATTAACACTCCCTCTCTAATCTGGACTTAAGGGGACATAATAATGTTCTCTTATCCCAACCTGTAAGGCCAGAAAAAGGTCAATGTTTCAAGATCTTCCCATTGTTGCTTGAAAAGTGCAGTTAGTGTACCTGATTTTCCATTCATTGCAAGGATATCCACTGCTGTTCCTCACAGCAGTAGATTATGTATTAGACTGCAATTCTATATAGCACACTCAGGTGTGTACAGGACTGAGTAAGACCACCACTCAATAAACTAGCACAGGACTGGGCTATACATGGCTGACAGTCTTCTACTCTTTAACAGTGCAGCTCCTTTATTCTGGTTACGTATATGGCTGGCTCTCAGTTGACAAATTTTGTGCAACAGACCCAGGCTGGAAAAACTGAGTTACTGCAGCAGGAAAAAGAGAGTTTATACAACTGCTCTGCTATTGTCATTATTCCCACATCGGGCTTTCAGAAGTACATTTCATCTTTCAAAAATGATGCTGTAAAAGTAGGTGGCTTTACCTTGCTGTTGCAAAAATAACAGGGATTGTCCTTCAACAGTTAGCAATGCTCATCTGCATAACCCACTAATGTTGTTATACTCAGAAAGTGACCATTTTGGGACATAGTTGGGTTGCAAGCAGCCACTCTCCTGACTGCATCTGATAATAAAAAATGTCAAGTTTTTCTGAAAGTAGTTCAGCCTTATTGTGTCAAAGAAATTAATGGAGATTGCTCTGAGAAAGATCGCCACACAAAGAAATCTTAATTGTGACTTTTCATTAAGGGTGCATTCCTATGTTTTTTCAGACAGAAGTCCTACTACTCCCAGCATGCCCCCAGTCAGCATAGTTGGCTGGGGAATGCTGGGAATTGCAGGGCTTTTTCTATCTAAATATGCATAGGATTGTGATGTACACCTTCATATAACTAGATCTGAAAAGGCATGCTCTATTTTTCAATGATGCACACCTTCACAGAAGGCAACTTTTTAGAAGAGACATTACCAAAGGAACATCTCTTCCAATATATCTCTAAACTTTTAGTGTTTACAATCAACTGAAATTCTTATGTGCTAAACATTAATCTGTGAGAGATGCATTTTCCCATAACTTGCTTAATTTTTTAGAGACAGATGTATTCTTTTCAAGGATCTGAATATTTTAAGAAATTTGAGGTGACTACATGACTAATAATTCGTGTTAACAAATTCAGGATAGCCAAAGAGTATTCAATTGTCAGTTAATGCATTCATTTCTATACATGATAGCAATGACCACTAAAAAAGACAAAATAATGAACAAATTCATGTAAGAAAGGTTATGGATCACTACAAAATGCTGTGTAAATTGAAATGCAACCTCCACCAAGGCAGCAATAGAACTAGTTACTAGGTACTGGGGGCAAGCAAGGGACAACTGTCATAAAAATTACCGGCATCCCAAGGGCTAGTATTTGACTCTGCCCAATATTAGTAGTATTAGTGATTGATACTGCATCTACTGTATCCCATCCTAAGTACTGCTAACTAATTATTATATGTGATGAAGCATTAAATTTTAATTCTCCAAAATGGGCCCCAGCTCCAGATTTCTGTATACTGATCAGTCAGTGTGATCATTGTTTCCGCCTATTGCAACTACAAGGAAAGCGACACAACAACAAAAGAAAACAAAAATGAAATACAGCAAGGGACAAAGATGCAAGCACAGCCTGAATGTACATTTACCATTATGACTTACAAAAGTACAAATATGTAGGAACAGCTCAGAAGAGAGAACTAGGGGCCTGAGAGAACTTTTCTCTCAATAATCTCTGCCTACTGGTATCTAAGCAAGGATCAATAAAAGATCAGCTTGGGATCTTTGAGGATAGCACCATTAGCTCTAGCATCTGCAAAGCCGACTTTCAGGGACAAGCAGCATTATCTCCCAGCTCCCAAGTCTACTTATTTAGAAAGCTTCTTTCCAAGCAGCCTTGAGCCCAGATTCTTCACCTTACAAATTAGCCACTAATTTTGATCTTTCTTTCTCCCTCACCTTTTATATCAAGAAAGCTAAAAAGCAAAATTTGGCTGCCCTTGAAAAGAAGCCTAGCTTCAGCCTTGATCACCCTTCCCCAATCATCTGCCCCTTTCTCTAGCACTGTCTTCACCAGGTGCTCATGATCTTGCTGCCTAGCCTTCCATAAGCCAGCCCAGTGACAAGAGAGGGATCAAACTGCACTAAAAGGAGATGGCAATCAACAGCCCCAATTTTAAAAGACCAAATGTTGCCCCCCACTGTGGTTAGCAAATGTTCTGTCACATAAGCAGCACTAATGTGATTCCAAGCAAAACTATACATTTATTCCAGAATAGCTAAGAATATTCCTATTATACAAATACAGTATAAATTCAAAAGTCACAAAATAAAAAAGTACAAACTCCATTACTTAATAAATATATCTAGCCATTTCAATTTAATTGGAAATTAAAGAGAGTAGCTTTATCTTGAAAACCTTGAATGTTTGACCCAGCAAACCATACAAACTTAGTATAAATACATTTTTACATAATACCAGAGTGAGCCCATTATTAGCTGTTAGAAAAGATGTACAGAAAAATGTGATAAAATAAACTTGCTGGTGCACTGTCAGAAGACAGCCAGGTGGCATGTGTATTCACAGAAAGAACAAGACCCCAAATCAAGGCTATTCTTAAGCAGCAAGTTCATCATATCTTTAGTATTCTAAACAAAATTAGGGGGTAGATGAAAACCAAAAAGAAAAAGAGATGGCACCAACCAGGTAATAAATTGAAAGCAAGCTTACTCTAGACAAAAACTGAATAAAGATGAGTCTTAATTACTGTCCGTACCATTTCTGGGGGCGGGGAATGTCCATGTACTGAATCCTGCTCTTCAGAATGGTCAATTCATCTTAAAAGCCTCCAGTTCAAAGTTAACTGCATACTTTAAAACTGTTAATTTTTTAAAGCAGCTACTTGCTTTCATCTAATTAAAAAGAAAAAAACCATTGGGCTAGTACAATTTTTCAAGGTGGTAGAATGATGGTATATATGTTTCAAATGCCAATATATAACAACTGTTAGGTCACAAGCCATATTAACACAAAACCCCAGTAAACGTTTTACTGTTTTCAATAAAAAACTAAAGAGAGGTGTTTTAAAATTGTGCAACCCCCCCCCCAAAACCTGTATAGAAAAGAGTGAATTAGAAATAGAACAAACATATACAAAAGAATAAAACAGTAAATAACCAGGATCTGATGGTATATACAAGTGCTCATTACAAAACTCAGTCTAAGTTTGTTTCCCTTGAGCTCTTGCTCAGCCAAGGACACACCTACTGGATGGAGAAACAGAGAAAGATTAAGGCACCAGGACAGTGGGCAACAGAAGCAGTGCCCATCTCAGGAGCAGGCATTCTGCTCAATGTACATCTTCGACAATGACACAGCCATGGATTTAGCCAGCTCCTCATCCCTCCTGCGCTGCACCTGAGTCTGCCTGCACCATTCCTCATACTCCGGATTGGGACACTGGCGATCCAGCACAGCGTCATAATGTCCATTGCTCAGCCAGCTCAGCCAGATGCTGCGCCGGCTCGGGTCCTCAGGCCCCAGGTAGTGGGCCATGGTGGAGACGGTGGGGCTCTCAGGCCTGCCGCCAGTGGTGAGGTGGATGTTGACGTTCAGCATTTGTCCCATGGCCAGCAGCTCAGGGTAGCCAGCCCAGGCACCATCCTGAGCTGCGTTGATGAGGAATTCGCCCACGTCGCCCTCGATGATGGGACTGAAGTGGTCCAGGTGGTCGGCGATGTAGTGCACCGTCTGCTCGCGGAGCTCGCCATGCAGCCGCTGGTCACCATTGATGGCCTTGCAAACGGCCCGGTATAAGCAGTTGCCGTCCGGAATGATATGGAAGCGAAAGCGGCTCTTGTGCCGCAGGTACTTGTCCTGCTTCTCCACCTCGGCCAGGTACAGCGCCAGCTTCTCGCTGCGTTCCGTCGGGCGGGCCTGGCAGGAACTCTCTTCCTCGGCTGCTTCTAACTCGGCTTCTCGGCGGCAGCCAGAATAGTCCAAGCCGCCACCGGCGGGCTGCGCCTCAACGGCGACGCCTGGGTAGGTGCCGGCTGCGGCCGCCGCTTGCAAGGCCTGGCAATGCTCGCTGAAGCGGAGGCCGCGATTGCTGGGCTCCTGCTGCAAGCTAGGCTGGGCTGAGGCGGCCGCGGCGATACTGTCGCCCCCGCCGTTCTCCAGCAGCAGCCACGGGTGGGCGTGCGGCGCCGAGGAGCTCAGCTCCCCCGCCAGGACGACGGGCTCCGGGCGCGGCACCAACCGGACGGGCACGACCCTTTCCAACGGCCTGCGGCGGATCATTTGCGCGCCGGAGCCGTAGCATGGCGACGACTGCTGATGCGGCTGCTTCCTCTGCACAGGCCCGGTCGGGGGCAGTAGCTCCAAGCAAGAGAAGGCAGGCATGGCCGTGCTCGCTCCCACTCCTACTGTGCTCGAAGTACCTCCACTGCCGCCGCCGCCTCCCGTGTCGCTGTCGACTCCCACCGGGCTTTGTCCCCCGGGCTCTGGCGAAGGAGATACTTTGAAGACGACGCTCGGCCCGTTCGCTGCGCTGGTTCCCGCCGCCACTGCCGCCGCCGACGCTGGGTAGTGAGTGACGATGGTGCTGTACAGCTGCATCCTCGGCCCTTTATAGGCTGTCGCGGTGGTAACAGCAGCCCGAGGAAGGCCGCAGGGGCCGGGCCAGGGAGCGATCACGGGGGACGCCGCCCCTCCTCACAGCAGGCAGCCAGAAAGGATGAGGCGGTCGAGTAAAAATAAACACGGGCATCACCCTCTGCTCGCTCGTCGCCGTCGCGCTTCTGCCGCCGCCGCAGCGCCCTTGCCCTACACTCCTCGCAGCGGCCAGGACTTAAGCCACGGCGGCCCCTCCTCCCCCTGGGCCTTCGCTCTCTCCGCCTCCCTTCCCCTCAGGCCGCGCCGAAGCGTGAATTCCTGCTGCGCCACAGCTCTGGGCGGTTCCCTCCTCCCTGGCCTAGGCCTAGGCCCAGACCTTGCTGGAAGGTACTGGAGGCCGGGCCTTGTTTACTTCCCTCCCTTCAGCACGTTGGAAGCCACACGTCGGCAAGGCGGGAGGGGAGGCGCGGCTTGGCTGGGCTGGGCTCCGGGGGAGCGCACCATCGCCGCTCCCGAGCCCGCCCCAGGGGAGCGATTCAAACAGGCTTCCGACGCAGGCTTGTTTCTGTTCGCCTTCCTCCCTGTCCGTCTTCCACATGAAGCCGCTGCTGCAGAGTAGGGCGCCGTACATAAATAAATGCACAGAAGCATTCGGTGAGCGCATGCGGTGGAGCACCGCGGACGTTTTAGACGCTGGGTCTAATCTGGGGCTGGACTGCTTTTACACAGCTAGGTGTATGTTTCTGAGCAAATGGAACAATCTTATACATGCTTAGACAGAAAAAAATGCTGGTTGCAGAATGCTACGGGTTTTGCAAGCCTTTTTTTCTGTCCAAACATGAAAAGGACGTCACTCTTAACATTTCTCCCCCTTCAGCCAATATCATTCATGCTTTAGAACTGCTTCTGCAGTTATGATAATTTAGAACAAAAAATGGTTTGCTACCCTGACCGAAGAAAAAAATACATTATTGCCTGTGCAGTTTTTCATTGTAAGTGCACTTAAATTTTAGTGCCTTTATTACTACAGAAATAAAACAGATTTTTCTTCTGCTCTGCAGCCTGCATTACCTTTCTCTGCACCATTAAGTGTGGAGCTATCCTGCTGATCAGAGCAAACACCTTTTTATTAGGACCACCTAAAGAAATGGCACAAAGTAGTTGTGAGAAAGATTGTGTGTCCTGTATGACTTTTCTTCAGGCTGGATGTTAACCAAAAAAAAAAAAAAAAGGACAGAAATAAAGCCAGATATTGTGTATTAAATAAACTTCTCTACCATCTTTCTGTCAGACTACCAAGTGTAGTTTACAGTTTTAAATAATGAAATGTTACTGATATGCCAAACCCTGAACATTTTCAGTCTCCACAGGCAAAAGGCACCTGCGTTTAAAAACATGAACCTCTAAGACTCAAAATCCACAAAATCTTACATTACACTCGTATGGGACAATTATCACCTGGATGCTTCATAAAGCTGGCCTTTATCACAGAGTGGTAAGAATCAGCCATTTGTTTTTGTTTACTTAAAATTTTGTACTATAAGAAAAAAATAGCACCTTTACTTTGTTGAATATCCTGTGTACATCTAGCGGTGAAATGCCAGTAAAAGCCATTTCAGTTCTAGGTTGTAACACAATAACATGGAAAAGTCAAAGGAGTTACTTCTGCAAGGTATTGTAGATACTTAACGCAAGCCATTCATATATTCATTAATAACCAATGATTCTAAAAACTTAGGACAGAACACCTAACATTATAGTACTAAACGGACAAAGGACACTTTGACTGATGGGCCACCAAATCAAAGTTTTACCTGCTATCTGCCCTTGCTTCAGTGATAACACTGGAATGAAGATGACGTGCATACTTAACATTGCTGTTATTAATGATTCATAGCTGGCTTAACTGTTTCTGTGTTGTTCATGAATCGGGTTACAGGGTTTAGCACACTGATATATGAATAGATATTTATCTAAGTCTCTTATGGTTAGAAATTGGTGCTGTACAATCTGATTCTATTGTGTAATAAACCAGTCAACCCATTATTTCTTGTTCACAGTAAGATGAGCTGCTGACACAAACATTTTAATCCTATTAGGGTGCTTCCAGGTCACAGAGGTCCTAGAGCTAACAATTGGAATGCATTGTGCAGCTATTCCATCATTTCATACATTGCTGATTTTCACAGTAAGAAAAATGGCAGAAGAAGCAGTGGCAAAACATAGGAGGATTCCAAGTGGATGACAGTGTTATCTGTGCTCCCACTGAATTCCATGAATGAAGAAAGGGGATTGCACCTTAAAAACCTCATTCAGAAACTTACCTAGTGGATGAAATAAAACCAGATACTGACCATCAATACATTTTAATTGAAAGAAAATCCAAAAGACAATGAAGGACATATAGATATGTAATAGTTTGCCTAATGCCATTTCACAAATATGAAATCCCATGATTATCCTAGAGTGCAGATTGGTCAGAACATGTATAATCTGCATTCCATCCTCCCTTTTCACTCCCATCTGTCATACAGCAATCCTAGGCAAATTGATTTAGAAGTAAGTCCCACAGGGTTCAACGGGACTCCCAGAAAAGAATGCACAGGATCCGACCCTCAATTCCTGAGGGTCCCCAGGCTTTAGAGTCTTAGGTTGAAATCCTAGACCAGAGTACCTGGGAGTTGCTTCTGAGTAGACACACATAAGATTGCACAATTAGACATTTACCGGTTAGGTTCACATAACACATTCAGTCCTTTGGGAATGTTAACCATGCACTATGGTTAACATTTCTCTGTGTCCGACAGATGATCAGACACAGCAGGGGTTATGTTCTTTCTCGTTGCTCCTCTTCTGACCCCTCCCCACACCCCAGTCCTGCTGCAGTATCTCAGGGACAGTGCAGCAGAACAGAGTGTTCCCCCAGTTGTTAATAGTTAAAAAGGTTAGCAGTGGGCTGCTGTACAAAGTTGCAATGTGGCATGGACACTGTGACCATGTTGACAAATGCCCATACCAAATTGCAACTTGTAGCCCACTGCTTATTATTTTCTCAGTTTTTTCCTTCTTTTTAAAGGTGAGGGATTTGGATTTGCTGCACTCTTTGCGGCAGAGCCCTTGTGATTTTTGTGGGGTGTGCATGTGGGCTAGAGTTGCCCACACTTTTCTACGTGTGGACAACAGAGAGGCACCTCCCAAACCTGTGAAAATATTGTATGGGGATGGTTCCCTCAATTCTACCTGCCTTACAAGCAGGAGCCCTGAGGATTTTGGGGGGACCAAGGAAGTCCCAGCTGTCTGCTTGGTTTTGCAATTTACTTCCAGTGGATAGCACCTCTGGAAGTGGCAAACCCTGAAGGAACCCCCAAAGGGGGATGAGGGACAAGGCTACCGTAAAGGAACAAGGCTACTTTCTCACACAGGGGTTTCTCCAGCTCTTCAAGTGCCATCCCTGCTACTAGAAGCATAGAGGCAGCCTGATCACATGAAGGATACCTGAGCCTGCAGATCTTTTCCAAAGAAGCAGAGTGTTCATGCTACAAAAAATGGGAAGCAGCCCCTTTCTGTAAAGTGCAGTCTCCCAGGCATACTTTGACAGATCAACTCTGCACAAAGGAGAGTGGAGGAATACGATATGCATATATATAGTGGACAATCATGGGCAGCCCCTGAAGTACCACTTGACATCCTTGGATAGTGTCGTCTCCTGAATAACCTAAAACAAAATTGGAAAATTGATCTTCAGCTGCATGTTTTCCAATCTACAAAATGTTGAGGTTTTTTTTAAAGTCAAGCTGCAGACAGGCACTAAATGGCTCACCATGGCTGCAGGGAGGTGGAGAAGCCTTTTTCAACTATCTTGAAGTGCTACTTTGGGGTCCTGGGAAAGGCAGTCACTTGTTAGCCCCTTGGTTAAAGTGGCAGGCCTTTCTGCTGCACTTGCCAAGGCCTATCTGGGTTTTTTACTTGACCATGCTTTACGTAACTTGCTGTCAGGCTTTGGACAACACAATAAGTCATGGTGGGTTTATACACCCTGCTACAAGCCAGGGATGGTTGGGTTAGTTTATAAGCCACCCAAGGGAGGAGTCTGTCCTAGAAAAGCAACATTTTCTCTCTAAACTTTCATTGCCACCTCAGTAACTTTGCACTGGCAAGGAGATGGCAGCATACAGATCAGCAGGGACACCACTGGCTGGCAGCACTGACCCCCCCCCCCATATAATGGGTTCCGAATGCTCCAAGAATTTCACAGCTCTGCAGAGAACTGCTGCGGAAGGCAGACTCAGGCACCCTGGCTTCACAATGCTCTGACCCCAGTGCCCCAAGAAAAGGAGGTGCTGCGAAAGTGCAAGCATGAAAGGAGTTTTGAGAGATTGTGGGCACTGCACAGCCACAGTACTTATGTGCACACCTGCCCACCATTGCTATCATGGGCCAGTTGTAACAAGAGGGGGATGGAAACAGAGCATGACTGAAGTGGAGAGCTGGCTATTTATTTATATTTATGGTAAATTATTATCTCACAGGACTATAGTGAGGCAGAATGACCTGTAATTCACCCCTCTCAGAAGTGTTATATATGTAACTGGCTAATAATAAATATGTCATGATCCTTAAATTCATTTTTCTTTTAATTTGATTTTCTTTTAATAAAAATCACTATTCCTTTTATTTACAACCTAAGATAATTCTAGTTCATTTCTCTCATGGCCATTGGTATAAATGCAATACAATATAAATATGTAACATTTCAAGTAAATATCTTATAATGTTTGAAGAATGTTCACTAGAATGTCCCAAATTAAGTAAAGTATCCCAGTTTTGTACAACCTTACTATGCTTCTGTCTGCCTTTTAGCACACTTAAATAATTAATAAGCTTCTTCCATACTGGCATGTTCATATGCTTTGATTCCTATATATGTCTCATATACTAACAGAGATTATTGGGGCCTTTGAGCCTTTATTTCAGCAAGTGCCCATACACAGAAGAGTAGTGGGGCAAAGATCTGAGGTTCTGAATAAAAGATTTTGGGCTCCAGTCCTAATGGGCTGCTCCCTAACACTACCTTTGCCATCTCTACCCAGATTAAAAACCAAGTCTTCTGGCATGTTAAAGTCTTACATATTTTAGTGGCTGAAGTTTTGAGCACTACCACATATTTCATCAGATGTTTGTGGTGGATCTGATGAAGTGGGCTCCAGTCCAAAAAACCTTCTTCTACACTGCAATCCTGGGTGAGTTAACTCGGAACTCAGTGAGTCACTTAGAACTAAACTCCACTGGCTTCAATAAGTCCTGCTCCCAGGCATGTTTGTATAGATTTGCAACTATAGAGTGTAATCCTAGGCATGTTTAGTCACAGAATAAAGACCTAAAACTCCCAGCATGTCCCAGCCAGCCATGCTGCAGGGATACTACTCTGAACATCATATTTAGGAGAGAAATAATTTGGAAGAGTTAGACTTTTTGCACTCCCTTGAATATACAAATGCGGAGTAATGGTTTTGCATTTTTCCTTCTTACACAATTTTAGTTGTTTTAGTACAAATTAAAATGTATTAACTAAACATATGAATACATTTTTAAACATAAGTGCTTTGTTTTCCTAACATTATAAATCTCAGCTCCAAGAGTAATACTTCCATGGATTCATATGCAATGCAATTTAGGACGTAGCAGTTGTAACACAGCAGAAATTTCATTAGAAGATAAAAGTTTGAGTTAGGGTTTGTTTGTTTGTCTAAGGCTACATTCTTATATACACCTAGTTGTATATGCCATTGAACTCCTTGACTGCCCCATAGTCATGCACAGAATTGTAAATGCCTCTAAGTGAAGGTGGATAGGGAATTAAAGGACGATCATGGAATTTGTAGCATATGTTTCTGTACATTTTTTTAAATTTGGAAAACACTTGTCACATTTCAGGAATTCAAACTAGTGTTTAATGTGACTTCGTTGAAAATGTACCATGACTGTGTATGTTCTCCCTTGGATATCCAAAGGAATGATCCAGTCTAAAAGTAATCCTCAGCATTCCACTGTCTCCTAGCAACCGGCTTGGCATTAATACAAAAGCCACACTCTCAGCACGAGTGACAGTGACATCACAGTGCATCAGAGCAAGTTGGAGGTAGCCTTGCCTTTCTTTTAAAGCAACAGGCTTACTGTGCTTTTTTGAATGTTTCAAGCAGCATTAAAAAAAGGGAAGTAACTCTTTTGCGTTTTGTGCATCTTCTATAGCAGTAATGGTGGAGCTGCCACAAGTAACAGCACCACGTAGGTTCCCATACAGAGTTCACTTCAATATTACAGAAGCACAAAAACAACAGGTATAGGGCAGTTAACTGCCCTACTTACAAAGGACAGTCCTCTAGTGGAAGGGTTGTGCAAGTCCAGTTTAAACATAAGAAAGAGCAGTGGCAGTTAGCCCATAGGGAGCTAATGGAGCAGGCACAAAGTCCTCTCTCCTGCAGCATGCCCTCTATTTCTATTTAATTTGCAATTATTTTGTATGTGCATTTATGTTCATGAAAGAACATATGCAAATATTATAGAATTCTTCATGTTTTTGGTGATGTGCACATGGCCATCTTAGGCATAAGTTCCACGTGCTTCTTGTTCATGGGATTATGTCAAAATTCTTTGCATTTCTTTCCTCATCCCTAGTTGCAATTGCAATATGTCAGTCTCATAGATTATCACGCAAATGCAAAGGATGACATATGAAAGCAAGTGATGTCTCTTGTGGGTATGAGTCAGTTTTGGCTGTCAAGATGAAAAACCCAAAGCAAGCAACTTCTCCATGGTTAAAATTGTAATAAATGATTTGTTATCTTGAAATGTTGTCCAAAATCTGACAGAAGCTTTATACTGCCTAATCCTAAGGTTGGCCTAGGTTCAGTAATTGCAGTGCTGGTCATTGTCCTATGTTCAAATTCCTACTTGGTCTTTAGCCATTACTTTTCAGTCTCCAAAATATGAATAACTGTAGTTTCTTGTGAGGACAAGCAAGGCAAAATTTTAAAGCCCTATTTTAAGTACTATAGAAATAGCTAACATGACAGCAGCTGTTCTTTACTTAGGAAGTAATTTTTTAAAATAGTAATTCCATCCTTTGTTTTTCTGTTCCTTTCTCAAGTAAAACATATTTCTTGCATCATTCAGCTAAAGTAAAGAAATTAATTTTACAAGATGACATGGTACAACCAATACACATAACATTTTCGGAGAGCAAGGAAAGCCATGAAAATATCTGTCAAATAGCCTTCTCTCAGCTGGTATGTCCCAGATTTGTTGGAGTGCAAAGATGGGAGTTCAGTCCAACTCCTGCAAGCCACCAGGTGGAAGAAGATTTCTGTAAAATTTTTCTTTCCAGCAAAGTCTTTCTGCAATAATGACAGTTTCTGTATTCATGGACTTTCCAGAGGTGGGTGTATGAGACAAATACAGGGCCATGAACACCATGCTTCTGAACCAGAGTAGAGAAAGCTCACCTGGTTTTAATTCTGCCTCCTAACACACTTTCCTATCTATTAACAGCAACAACACTGCAATAAACAAAACACTTTTGGACAGCGAAAATGAAGAGACCAATTTCCTGCACCTGCCTATGGAAGCAGTATGTATGGTAAGAGTATGTATGACTCTCAGTACCAATTCCACATTTGGAGGAGCCCTAGAGAAAAATACTGTCAATGGCCCTTTCTCATTGAGTATGCCCACCTCTTCTTCCTCCCCCCACCCCCAGTTGCCACTTAACTCACCCTCTGGGCCAAATCTACACCACCTCCCAAGGCCTGCAGGTCCTGTGGGTGGGCGTTGTATGTGGGTGGTTTGGGAGTTACCTGGTGTTGCCATCCCCTGATGGCAGAACCCCATTGACTTCAAAACTCTCAAAACGATAGCTTTATTGGGAGGTTGAAAATATCTGTTACTTTAACGTAGAAATTACATTTTCTGTTTAAGTCTTTGTGGGAACATAACAGTGTCTCTGTTGTTCCTGTATAACTGCTGCCTTTCATATGGATGGGAAAGGCTATGCAGAAGACTGCCAGGAGAATGAAAAAGCAGCAGTCCCACATCAGAGCCATCCTCTGGTCCTAAACATATTGTCACTAAACACATTGATGATCCCACTGAACAAACCTAGGAAAAGTCCTGCACAAAAGTTGATTTATTTTTTTTTTTACAATACATCCAAAGTATGTTAAAAGATAGGAAGTAGAAAATGTAGTCAATTGTATGTGGGTGGCTGTTGGCTTATGTATGACACTACAGTTTATTGAACTGTAAGTTTTAGTGGTATGGTTTCACTATTGTAAAAGTTTGCAGTCTTGACAATAACATTACTGACTGACTCAGAAAGAACCATACTCCACACTGCATAGTAGCAGTCAGGAGGGGATGTAATAACTGCTATGTCAGTGAAATGTTGCCGCGTGGGCTTGCCAGACATTCTTCATGGCATTACAGCTATGCTATGCATATCTTTAGCATCAGAGGGTCAGTAAGTGATGCAAGCATATTTTCAGTAGGCACCATGAGTAAAGTAAATTATGCCCCCTTTTTAAAAAAAGTTGCACACTTTGGCATCTAAAACAAAAGTAACTTAGGCTGGATATTCAGCATAACTTAAGAATACTAAAGGGAGTGCAGAAATGGTGATGGATTGTCATCCTCCTTCTCATCTTTCGTTCATGCCCATCCAAATGCCCATGATGCAGATAGAGAAGGTCAGGGCTGGCCCCGCACCAGACAGACTGAAGCAGCTGCCACAGGGAGGAAATGCTGGAGGACAGGAGCAGGGTCAAGGTGTCGGCAGATGCAACTCTTGAGTGTCCTGCAACCTGCCCTGCACCCTTTAAGCTAGCCTGTTGCCCTGAGCTGCAGGAAAGGCTATTGTCACACTGTCATGTTGAAGTAACAATTAACTGTCATTTTGTTGGTTTTTGTACACAGAATGAAACTGGGACTCCATCATGTCCTTTGTCTCAAGCAGTAAAATATCCTGGGCCAGCTCTGAAGAACTGCTACAGCAAAGATCATACAATCTTTTAAAAACTTCATTTCTCATAGATTTCTCACCTCATCCCCATCCACTGATATCCAACCTATGCAAAATGCCTTATTCTCTGCTGTAGTCAAGGAAAAAAAGTATGTTTATAGACACAGCCTTTGGTTCTGCTAATACAAATGAAAAAGCCTCCCACAAATAAAAGTTCCTGTCGGCACAGGAATCACTGTTTACTTGGCACATATCAAAGAGCATTCAGGTGGTACTGGACGCAAACCACAACAGTGCAAACAATGCTGGCAGCACATTTGTATCCAATAACATTAGTCTCAATGCTGAACTAAGAGCCACTTCAGTATGACTTTGTCAATGGAATATGACGCAATTGTAAACAGAAAAGGAGAAAGGTCTCCCCTGTGGATGAGAGTGTATACAAGCTTTCCCCAGCCGGCTGTCCTTTGGATGTGTGGGACTGCAGTTCCCATCATTCCCAGCCAGCATGACAAATGGTTGGTATTGTCTAACACCAGTGGGCACCAAGTTGAGGAAGGATGGTGTATGTGTACCCTCATTACACCCTTATCTATTGTCTATATAATTTATATTGTAAATAAACCTGGTCACCAGAGATGGCGTCAACTGTATTCTGTAAACTTCTAGCACAGTGTCTGCACTAAGTGAATACAAACAGTAGTCATAGCAACAAGTAATCTTTGTGGTCTCCGCTTTCTAAGAGTAGTAAGCTCTTGGGACAGACTTTTAGAGGCAGTGTCCTTGCAAGAAGAGAATATTTGAGATGTATCCTCCAGGTTGCTTTGGACTTCAGCACAAACAAGCAGAGCAATAGTCAAGAATGCTGGGAGTTGTAGTCAAAAACATCTGGAGAGCACCAGATTGGGGAGAAACTGCACTTGAGCATTAGAAGTTCAAGTGGGCCTGCAGCAAAAGTGGTCCCCCAAAGAGCCATGCTCTGTTTCAAGATATTCCATTCTGTTCCTTCACATCCAGTCTTCCCAATAGTCAGTCTGCATCCCATGAACCAAGAGCATGAGGTTCCCTCCTTGGGCTGTTGGGCAGAAGAGGACCTCCCCCTTACTTATTTCTTCTGAAGAATTTATTTATTCTTGGGATTTCTGAACCTGGTGTAGTTTGGCAATATAAGGGTTGAACCAAAATGAATGCATTCACTCTTAGTACATATGATAATGGAGATATAAGTGGCAGTTTAAAGATGTGTGCCATTTCTAAGTAACAAGAACAACAACAGTAGCTGAACTCATAGTTAAACATAAGGTAAATTATTACTTTAGTAGGAAACAATTTTAAGCTATCATTAGTTATGTGACCTGACAAACACACTCCATCACAACATTTATTTACTTCCGTTTCTATGCTACCCCATAACCTGAAGTTTCTCTGGGCAGCTTACATACCTTTATCCATCTAGTTTGTCCCCAGTTTATCCCATGTCATGCTGAAATTTAATTGAAATACAATTTTGAATGTCATGTTCAAATACAGAAATTGTTCCAGTCAAAATCTCTCTCTCTCTCACACCTCCCCTTCTCCATCTCCTCCTCCTCCTCCTCCAATGCTGAGATCTGCCAGCTAGAGCCAGGTACAAAATACCGGCTCTTGGAGATGGACATACATTAAGAGTTAAAGAACAGAAAGTGTATTTCAGTACATACTCAGTCCTGACATGCGTGATTAGTAAGTAGAATCAAGCTCACATCTCTTCACACCCAAATTTCTTTCTAATTCTCTTACCCTTCTTGGGCCCAGAGTGGCCCTGGTCTGCTTGCACCCTCCTGCAGCCTGGGAGAGTCCAGTCTGAGTATATGGAGAAGAGTGCATGAGCCAGTCAGATTCTGGGCTGCAACTCCTCCTCTCAGCATTAATTGATGCAAAAAGCATGCTCAGGTGGATAGACAAACAGCTGGGGCTTTTCGTGCTAGGTAGTCAAGGAAGGTATTTTGCACTTCCAGGCCAAAAGCCTGTTTCATCCAATGCTTGTTTTCAGCAGAAGACATTGAGAATCAAAACAGATGTGATATAAACCTCTGATTAGATTACCTGATTTAAATAAAACTTTAATGCTGCCATAGATCCTTGCTAACTTGAGGGGGAAAGCAGTGCTGGGGAGATATGTCAAATCCTTTCCTCTGAAGTGATGTCCACCTTTCTAAGCCCCAAAGCTTTTAAAGCTAGTCTTAGTTTAGCTGAAGGAGCAGAGATCCAAGTACTTATGCATGCATTTTTAGCAGCTCCTAGAGAAGTTATGCAGGGGGACTGGACATTGACCCAGGTTCTAGCCTCCACTCAGTCATGGAGTGGGTGACTTTGGGTCAGTCATTGACTCTCAACCCAACCCACCTCACAGTGTTACTGGAAAGATAAACTAGATGGAAGGAGGGAAGTCTTGAATACTACCTTTGGCTCTTTGGAGGAAAGGGGGATATAAAGGAAGCAAATGATACAAAGGGAAAAAGTTAAACGTGTTCTCCTGTCAAAGTTGGAGCCACAATATTTCTGCCTTTTTTACTTTAAATGCAAGAGGCATCAAGAATCTAATGTGTCATGTCTGTTTTGGTCCTTAGAAAGCAACCTCTTGGAATGTAATGCACAGAAGCTTGGCCCTCTGTCACTTAGCTTGCTGCAAATGCTTGTCTTTTTTCAGCTGCATGTCATCATCTCACACCTGCTAAGTGACACATGAAAAGAACAGCATTTACCAAGCCTGAATTAGTCATCACAGTGGAAATCTACACCAGGTTGGAATTTGGGTGGACCACATGAAAAGGTGTCTGAATGGTGATAAGTAGGTAAGTTAGCTCATCTTTCAAGTGAGCATGTTTCAAAAAGAAAAAAAAAGACTGCTGTCTAAGCATAAATCAAGGCACAAGCAAAGCTGTTCTCTCTTCCAGGGTCCATTGAAATACTTATCATACATCATATTATGCATTAAATTGTTCCATAGTGAAGTCCTATGGATGTTTACTCAGAAATAATTTTTACTCTGTTTTGAGGGGCTTACTCTATAGTTAATGAGTTTAATATTGCAACCTTATATGCTGATTCTATAGATGCTTATTTAAGAGTAAATCCTGTTGAACTCAGTGGGATTTACTTTCATGTAAACATATATAGGATTTTGCTGTTAGACTGCAGTCTAAATACACTTAGTTGGAATTACTTCTGAGAAAATATGTATAGGATTATTCTGCTAATCTGTCTTCCCCATAGATATTATTCTTAATGCATAACTTGCTTAATCAACGTATACATGTTGGAACAGCACATTGAGGTCTCTAGCAGAGACATGCCCTATAAGTGCTTTAAAATATGTCTATAATGAAGAACAATAATATTTTGAGTACACCTCACCAAGGACAAGAGGGCGCACCCTCTATTATCTTGGTCTGCAAATAGTTTTGAGGTCAAGCCACTTTGAACACAAAGGACTTCTGCTGCTAAAATGTAGTTTAAAGTCAGGACAGACATGTTTGCATTCATATCTAACAATGTATCTTTATATAGCACAACATTTATCATGCAATTTTTAATGGCTAATTTGGGAGATAAAATAAGCTTTCTAGTTTTCATTCCAGTCATTGTTTTTATAAGCATATAATTTTCCTATTATTTGATTACTGTAACTGATAGCATAAGATACCTATTGGTTAGCTACTTAAGCTCAAGTGTCATAGCTTTGGCTATGGGATGGTATAGAAACAAAATAAATAAATACACTTCAACCATCCTCCAAAAGTGAATGGTTGTGAAGTATCATGCAGAGCCTATGATAAACTGAATCTTCTCACTGCATCTTACAGTAAGCAGACAATTACATTGCTTTCTAACAGTTTGTGGACTTGAAAAGCAGAGAAGATAAAGATTTGCTACAACTCCAATTACAGAGACACACACATCATACCTTCCTTTACACTGTCAAATGTTAAACTCTTGTACAAGTTGCTGGCTCTAACACACAGGTAGGAGGACTTCAGGCTTGAGGGTTCTATTTTAATTCCTTTACTAGAACCCTGAGATCTGACAACTAAAACCTGGTGCAAAAGACATATGGTGGGAATTAAAAAAAACTATTTTGATGTTGTCTTGAGTGCAAGAAATTGATGAAGCTCACTAGTCTTCCACCCAACCATCCACTCCTAATTGCTATAAGTTCTCTTAATTCTAGTAGTATTATTTAGGAGTCAGAAATCCTTGTTGACCATCTGAAAACTTCCTAGAAATCTAGCAGTAGATCCAGGTATATCTTCTTCTGGCTCCTGCCCTAAAACTAAATCTGCCCCATCTCAGTTCCCAACCCTTTGCCAATGTACAGAATACATTGTTGCACATCCAAGTACACATGGCACATAACATAATACTTGGTGTATGTAGATTAGCAATTATTGCAATGGGACTAAGCTTCACTAAACTCAGTAATTTAACTTGCTAAACACTTTGAGCTTTAACCTCAGACCTTCAGCCAGCTGAAATGCAAACTATCTTGCAAAAAAGCGTTACCCTTTAAACTAGAAGCAACAAGTTCAAAGAGCTAGCAAAGGAACTCTCAGAATCACTGTCTATTTTCTTTGATAAACCTTGGAAAACAGGAGAAGTGTAAGGTCACTAAAAAAGGGCTAATGTTGTCCCTATCTTGAAAAAGTGGGGGAAAGATGAACCTGGGAACTATTAGTCTTGAAGAAAATGCAGTGATTAAAAGAAGCCAGCATGGATTTATCAAAAATAAATCCTGTCAGACTAATTTAATCTCATTTGTTGACTGCATAACCTCCCAAATAGACAAAGGGAACACTGTGGATGTAATCTACCTAGACTTTAGCAATGCTTTTGACATAGTGCCACACAACAGTCTAATAAGCAAATTAACAAAATCTGAACTAGATGGAAAAACCTTTAGGTGGATCCAAAATTTACTGCTAAATGGGACACAAAGAGTGCTCATCAATGGCAACTTCTCAAATTGGATGGAGATAACTAGTGGGGTGTGACAGGGTTCATTACTGGGCACAGTCCTCTTCAATTTCTTTATTAATTATTTAGATGAGGAAGTACAAGGAAAGACAATCAGATTTGCAGATGATACAAAACTGGGCGGAATAGCAAACACCCTAGAACGAGAATAAAGATTCAGGGTGAGCTTGATAAACTTTAACATGGGGCTCAAAGCAACAGAACGAGATTCAATAAGAACAAGTGCCAAGTTCTCCATCTAGGAAAAAGAAACCAAATGCATCGATACAAGATGAGGAATACGTGGCTCAACAGAACTGAAGAAGAAAAAGATCTCAGAGTAATTGTGGATAATATGCTAAACATGAGCCAACAATGCAATGCAGCCACCAAAAGGGCAAATGCTATTTTAGGATGCATTAACAGAAGTTTTACTTCCAAATCATGAGAAGTAGTAGTTCCTCTTTACTCCTCACTAGTTAAACCTCATCTGGAATACTGTGTCCATTTCTGGGCACCAAAATTTAGGAAAGTTTAGAAAGGGTCCAGAGTAGGGCAACAAATATGAATCAGGGTCTGGAAACATGAGGAGAGACTGAGAGAACTGGGCATGTTCAGCCTTGAGAAGAGAAGACTGAGTGGGGACATGTTATCCTTCTATAAGTACCTCAAAGGCTGTAGGACATGGAATACTCCATTCAAGTTGCAACAGCCCAGATTCAGGTTGGACATCAGGAAAAGCTTCCTCACTGTCAGAGCAATAAAACAGTGGAACCAGCTGCCTAAGGAGATAATGGACTCTCCCACACCAGAGACATTCAAAAAGAACTGGACAGCCATCTGAGTGGGATGATGTAATTTGGTGTCCTGCAACAGCAGGCGGTTGCATCTGATGGCCTTCATGACCTCTTCCAACTCCACTATTCTATGATTCTAAGTTGCAGAGCAGAGCAGTATCTACCCTGAACTTGACTATTTTTCTTGTTCTCCCTCCACTATCCATATGCTAATCTCATGCCAAAAACTCAGTAAACCTTTAAGGTCACACTACCATTTACCAACATTCATACCACAGGACACCCCTAAATGAGTTTGGGTGACCTTCTTGGCCCCTTCCAACTTTACTAATCTATAATTTTGTGATTCTATAAAATTGTGGATTAAGTATAGGTGGTCACTTAATCAAAGGTTGTTGCATTGTATAAATTCAGGTGCACTGACAAGCAGTGGTTTGTTAACCATGAACAACCCATGATGAGAACCCATGGTTTGTTTGCTGTTAGATTGTGAACTCTGGGTTGTTCATGATCAACAAATCATGGTTGTTAGCGCAGCTGGATTCATGGAAAGAGATAACCCCTGAATCAACAACAATCAGTGATTCAATTACTATCCATACTCTGGGTTATTGTGGGATCCTTGGTTTCTTTATCTCAAATGAAGTTGCTGGAGGTCTGGAGGGTGGCTCTACCTCCTTCCAGAAAATATATTATAGACTGCCTCCTGCTCATTATTCAGTACAGAATTTCCATCTTGTTGCCATGGCATCCCACAACTGGTTCCTTAGTAATGTTCTAGAAGAGGAGAGAAGATGGCCAGAGCTATGTCACTTCCAGCCTCGGTCTACCAGTCCCGAGAACAGGACAAGATAAGTCTGACTACACGGTCTCGAGCCCAGCAGTCCACACGGAAGTTGAGCATAACCCCAAACATCCTAGAACTCTTGACAGTGCCATGTTGTTTAGATGAATTGGACGTTGATTACCGGTAATGTGACAAGTTGCCTACAATGATCATTGGTGGGGACTCATAGAAGGGGGTTAATGCAAGGAATTTGCAATGGGGAGGCAATGAGGGTAAAGGCCATGTGATGACTGGAGCTTCTTTGTATGTACATCTTTTTCCTTTTGTGGTTATATTTTTATCTTACCATTCCTCATAAATGCTTAAGGTATATGCAATATTTCTTTTTATTTAGCTCCTAATTAAGACATCTGTACTCTGCTTCCTCTGCCTGCCGTCCCAGTATGCTCCAAGCAATGGACAAAATAACCATAATATCAACCAAAACATTAGTACCTAAATCAATATAAGCTGAAATATTATAAGTAGAAGACAATAAAGCAGTAGCAGCAACAGAAAAAACAAAAGTAAAGGAGAGCAAAGGTCAAAACAAGGATTATGCCAACATTGCAGTGGGCTAGGGGAAAGGTCTTTGCCTGAGATGATTCTTTGAAATAATCTTTATTTTTATATTACAGTGTTTTTATTGAGACATAATGTTTCTAGTCACTTACAAGGAAGTGATTCTAGTCTGGGACCAAAAGACCAAAACCAGGATAAGGCTAGAAATATTCATTAATAAGCAGTAACTTGAAAACAGCAGACAGCTGTTTCTGGAGAGTGTGTCTCACAGTACTGAAACAGAAGAACCTGTATCTCTGATGGTCACCATTGATGCCACCTCTGAAAATAGAATGGCAGGGAAGTCAGTGCAGACCTATAACTGACAAGGGCTGGGTCCTGCCTCTTCAGTGCTTCACAGGATAAAAGCAGCACTAAAAAACCCAGAAGGTATCTTTGATCTTGCATTGCTGCTACAATGCATTTATGTTATCCATGAGAGAGAGTAGGTTGGGAGCAGGGACTGATTCCCAGGGCTATGCTCATTGGGATCACTCCAACATCAAGACCTGCATGTCTGAATGGGCCTTCACAGACACGACCTGTCTTGTAGAACTTTAGTAACACGTCACCTTAAAGGCAATGCTTGCTTTCATGTGGAGTCAGTTAATATACACTCAGTTAACAGTCATCAAGTGACACACATGCATGTATTGACATTTCCTAGTCCTTCTGAAGGTGTGGACATGTAGCAGCAGAAGAGGTCCTAAGAAATTACTATGGTTATATGACTTCTCTCTAGGAGTAGGAGCTGACAATGTCCCAGTATTCGCAGCAATGACATTGTACTAGTTGAAACTAATGCTTCAATAACATAATGCAGCAAAATGGCCATTTGACACCAAATACAGCAGCTCAGTGGCAAAAACAGTATAATTCTTCTTCCAGACAGTGTACCTGGTTTTAAAGAAAAATAGCACCTTTTGGCTGGCAATTTCTAGATTTTGGCTTGATTGGCAAAAGAGAACTGAAATCAGATTCACACAAGTATGTTGTTGCAAATGGAATGAGGAGACAGAGTGCTTTTCCACCAAATTAATAAGATCTTCCTTCAGCCCTTCATCAGCAGCCTTCCTCTCTGTCACACCCCTTGAAATACCTTCTTGCACCTCAGATTGGAAACCCCTGCTCTTGAGTAATATGTAACTGAGGCACATAGATATGGCTGTCATACAGCAACTAGGTAGGCAGCTTCAGGCTGGAGAGCTTGTGCATTTTTCTCCTTCACTGTTGGAGGAGAAAAGACAGATCAAGACTGAGTCCAGTCCCCCTATAATACAGCCTACAAAAGTTGTTGACTTGGATTCTGATTCAGAAGTGGAAGAGGAGGCAGTGTTGGAATTCTCAGCTGAAATGCCATGACCAGTTAGTCACCAAAGTTAGCTTTTTGGAATCTTTTCTCTCCAGTAATTCATTGTGCTTCGGACTTCTGCAGGAGACATTTCCAGTGCACTGTGCCCAAAGTGGGTTAAAATGGCTTTACATTTCTGATCCATGTTGATAACTAGGAAAAGAGTCATTTGCCATGCTTTTACATATGGATATTAAGATTTCGTGTATTGTTATTCAAAGAGCTTTCAGATATGACCTGATTAACATACAGAGAACATTTAAGAAAAGAGTAATTTGCCATGCTTTTACATATGGATATTAAGATTTCTTGTATTGTTATTCAAAGAGCTTTCAGATATGACCTGATTAACATACAGAGAACATTTGCTTGTTGTAGGAATGCAGTCTCAGGAATGTTTCTGGGAGATGTTAACGTCAAAGGCTATTTAAAAACCCTGCTGCATTTATTCCAACCATGTCTGCTCATAGTTTTTCACTAAGAGTTCCCTCTGTGAATGAACTAAGTATAGCTTGGGTGACGTACATGTTGACTCAGTCCTATTTCACAGCCAGAGCTACCCCTCTCTCTGCACCTGTTCTCTGCAATTGGAAAATCCAGTCAAGTTTAGAATAGCATCCACCTCCTGGAAATGTGTGTGTTATGAGTTTACCCACACAAAGGTCTTGTCCACATAGATACTTGGCTCTGCAAATTATATAACAGTCAGAGTCATGAAAGGGAGAGTGACCCTCTCACAATGCAACTAAGGGATGTTTTAAGCTGCTCCATCACATTCTGAACCTTTTGTGTTCACATGGTTTATAATGTGGGTTCTCAGAGAATGGCTCTGGGCTGGGGCATAGGACAGATAACACTGTCCTATTATCACATCTAAGGAGGCATTGGCCACTGGTGCTGGGATGCAAGACTGCCTAGAATCCCTGTGTAATCTTCTTTGGAAGAAAGGCCAGGAGATAAGTGAGGAAAACAATAACTGGTGCAATTGTTGTGATCACACAGCATGGAATGTCCTGTCCTGATCGCCATCCCCTGCCTTGCTCCCAACAAAGTCTGTAAATGCCTGGAGAAAATTACCTTACTCTGTGCAGTGTGCTGTATCAAGACTGGGCCATGGGCAGCAGACTGGAAAGAGCCAGGAACTAGGAGCCAGGAACAAAAAGCAAGCAGGACCAGAGAGCAACCAAAAACTCAGGAGAGAAAACCCAAAGAACGAACTAGGAGTCAAGACCAACCACAAGAGGAGAAAAACAAGACATGGTAGAGTTCAGCTTAAGCAAGGCTCAGATGAAAGGAGTCTTTTAGATTCCTTTCTGCCTAGGAGAAGCCTACAACCAGCCTAGGTGGATGGAGCCAATTCAAATCTTGACGCTACTTCTCTAAAATACCGCAATTACATGGCTTACCAGAAGAGGCAGTGGTCAGCAGTTCAAGGCAGAAGGTTCTTGACGGAGGGGATGTAGTTTTTGTGGCTCACCACAAAGGAACAATAGTTAGCACACCAGTTTAGACCTCCTGTACGGAGTGACATAAAGTGGTTTCCATGCAATGGCTCTCATGCATGTACTGCACTCAAGTCAAACCAATGACAGCTCCCCATGTGGTTTACATAGGCTTGACTAAAGTTGGAAGAAACTAGTAAGCAAACTAGTAAGTTGGAAGAAACTAGTAAGCAAGGCTTGTGATTGTCATGTAACACTAGGAGCCACACAAATGTTGGCAATTAACAGATTAAGCAGCTCCTTCTCGAGGCTCCAAATACAGGCCTACTTCTGGTTTTCTTCCAGTCTCCCGGAAGAAAGGGATAGTTGGATCTAATGGAGGATGGCGGCTCCAATGTCATGGAACAGTAGATCTCTCCTGAACTTTAGAGCTATCTACAGTGTTGCACCTTCAGAGTGGATCCATCAGCCCACTGACAATGTCTTGTATTGATATTGATCTTCAGCGTTTGCAAATTATGTTTACTTATTATTTAAGTATGCCTTATAATAACACTGCTAGATAATAGAGAAATCTGCCTTATACCACATCAAACTATTTGGACATCTATTTCATTATGATCTATCCTACCAAAGCAGCTCACCATGGCACAAAGCAGATAAGGTCTTAAGTGGGGTCACTGTGGATCAGACCTGGCAACTTCCACAAGGAAAGCCTACATTCTAGCTATAGTCCCTTTCAAACAGTATTGTAGAACAGAATCGTTTTCTTTTATAGTAAAATGTAAACTCTCTGGTAATAATATGCTTTAAGATACAATTCTATACATGTTTAGAGAGAAAAAAACATCCTATAAGGGGGAATTCTAGGGAGTCCTACAACTCTCTACTACTGGGAGCAGTAGTACTTTTTCCTGCCTAAACATGCATAGGATTGTACCCTTGGAATATCCACCAGTAATCTGTTTTGTATCCAGAGTTGATAAACAAAATACAATAAGCTGACTCATTTGGAAGTAAATTTCCCTGAAATTCCTGGGTTTCCCAAGTACTGGTTTTAATGATTTTATTCATGTTTTATATGTGTTTGCATTTGTTAGGATGATCTAAAACATATTCTAATATATTTTAATGTTTTGGTAAAGTTATTGCAGGTTGTTTTGTTGTTTTCTAAACTATGATAAATGCTATATAAAATCTACTGAATTATAGATAATAAATGTGTTTCATATCCAGGTAGATATAATCAAAAGGGAAACAAAAAATTGTATAGATGATCGTTACTTTAATTATGCAATGCTACTCAGATGCCCATATGCACCTGTCCTCCCATTCCACAATTTCAATAAGTAGGCTTTTTGCCCCTCTAGCTGGAGCATCTAGAAGGAGAAGGAAGAAGTCAGGGACAGCTTCAGGATGCCTTGTATCAACCTTCTAGGTCCAGCTAAGAAGAAACAAAACTTACCTGTGGCCTTCTGGTTCTCTGAATAGGCCAGAGGGCCTCCAAAGGTGCCTGCATGAGCAATGCTTCAGTTCCTTTCCCAAGCTGAGAACAAAAGGCAACACTTCCTGCCATGGATTTTATAAAGTTCCTATCAGTACACATAGGCTCTAACTCCTATTCCTAAGAGATACAGGTGGCCGGGGGGGGGGGGGATTTTTTTAAAGCAAACAGTGTTGTTTTCACAGCAAAAGCAGCCCTTATATATAGAATGACCGAGGAATGAAGTTTCAAGGCAATTACCTCTAATGTTGTTCCTAACAAACTGAAGATGATAAGTATTTGGTATGGCTCCAGGAATCTTTGCCACTATGTGTATGGAATGCTGGACTAGATGGGCCTTGGTCTGATCAGCATGACTTTTCTTAGGTTCTCATGTTCTTCCTGGCTTTTGGATTATAGGAAAGTTTGCTACAGTACCTGTTGGACTTCCTTGCCATTCTTCTGATAAACCCCACTCTGGTAAACCACACCCCTTCTCTGTGGTCACTGTCTCAATCTTGGGGAAAGCCCAAGTGTGGGACTTCCTACACTAGCTGCAGGGGACGAGGGTGGAGGGGAGTTGGAGCTCTGATTCCAGCTGCAGTGCTAGAGCACAGTCTCTGCCCCCAGATCTGGGAATCTGGAAAATCCTCCAGCCCCTCAGGAAAATCCTCCAACCACTGGCATATTCTCTAAGTTTAATATCTATTAGGTAAAATATTTCTGCTGTAAAGAGTAACTAATATATTTTTAACAAAATTCTTTAGGCCTAGAATTTCAGAAGACCTAAAAATAGGTTTTGCAATCTCAGATCATGCTACTCAAACTGATATAAGTGAAATAGGAGATCTAAAAGAGTTTATCACAACAACAAGAACTTTGTTAAAGGTAAGTTGTGTTCTGAATATTACAGAATACATAAGAGGCACTGCAGCAATTTATATATGTAGCTACTATTAAAGAAACAGTGTGATTTCTTTGGCTGTTTTTAATCAAGACACTTTTCCTCCTGAAATCAAGGCTAACGTTTTTCTTGTGTTTTATTGTCAATCTCCCTATTATACCCTTTTTATTATCAACTTCCAAATAGCTCAAATTTCACCAAATATGTGACATCAAAGTGATTAAAAGTGCAACCTTGGGGTTGAAAGTAATTCTCTACTTCTTTTTATTAAAAGTACTTCTGGTGCCCTTTCCAGACCTTTGAATTCAGCCTATGAATAGTTAAGCCAGGCATATGAGAATGCTGGCTCTGGGGCTCATGCGCACACCCACACCACCCAGTTCTACATGAAAAGGCAAACACCTGCATAGGGCTTGCCTTACACATAGATCCCAGTAGTATCAAAAGCCAGTAAGTAGTCCAAGAGAATCAACAAGGTCGCACCCCCATCACTCCCCTGGCAAAGGACAGCAGTTCCTGTTTCCAACCAGGTCTGAAGTCCAATTGAAATGAATCTAGATAATCCATTTCATTTAAGAATGCATGGATCTGACCAGCAACTACCTGCTCAAGCACTTTTCCCCAGAAGGGAATATTGGCTACTGGCTTATAGTTATTAACATCCTGAACGTTAGACTTTTTTAGAAGTGGCCTGGTGACTTTGACTGGTATTTGAATAGGGAGGTTAACTGTGTTTGGTTCACATTCCTCTATCCTACCAATTTCCCTGGGATTCACAGCCCCTGTTTAATGTTCTGATCTGAAGCAGGGACTTAGGAGGGAAGGTAAGCCCGATATTGCAGCACCTAGGAGAGCTCCTAGTAAGTTCAGACAGGGTCTTAAGACCAGGGGGAAGCCTCTTTTCGGACCCCACCCATATGAAAAAGTAGGAAACCCTAAAGGGACTAGGCTCTGGCCTGGAACCTAGCACTTCTCTGTTACTCCAAGAGTATGTGTCAGGCACTCTGCCCGCATTGGCTCACCAACTCCATGGCTTGAGGGATTCTTGGAGATGAGTGTGCCAATTACCCCTCAGATGGCACCACAGGGTTCCTCAGTCTGTGAGTCTGCATCCTGGTCACTGCTGGCCTCAGGATTTATACTAGAGTGACAGGTCTGGAGTGTGTGTGCTCACCATGCTGAATCAGTGTGCTTGGGGTTAAGCTTCTGTAAAGCAGCTACAGGAGATATTATTTCCAGCACAGGTAATATGATATATATTTTTTTGCATTTTCAGTTCACAAACTCTGTTTATGATGATTTTACAATGTATAAAAGTGTCCTTAAAGCACAGTATGAGGAAAAAATACATGAACATGCTTCCAATCTCTGGCAAGAAATAAGTGACAGACTGAAGCACATTGAAGACTTTTATAAGCAGGTGTACACTTACTTTACTTATCCTTTGATAGCATTGATGTATTATTGCTCACCAATTATGTCACTTTAGGGTTTGTGTTTGTTTGATAGCAATCTATAGCAGCATGTGTGTTGATCATTACAGTCTAGCTGCTAGCAAGACAAGACAAAGACCACAGCTTTATTATTGATTGAAACCAATTTAGCATCTAATCCTGAGCGTGCTGAGACAAAGTTTGGCTGTCAGGGCATTTTGGGAGTTGTAGACTTTCTGCCTTTCTTTCAGGATCACATCTTTAATACCATCCCCTCTTCCAAAAAAAGCTCTGTGACTTGTAATTGTATCTGGAAAGACTGAGGTTTTTTTTAATAGAAAATGCGCTGCCCTTTACCAAACTATAATTTCCATGATTCTTTGAGGGACTATTGACAAATAAATGGATATGAAACTGATGTTTTCAGTTTAAATGCTTTTGCTTAACCTAGAGTTCTTGCATTTAGAACAAGTGAGTCCATTAACTAACTCTCTTCGGTATGACTGGTTTATGGATTTGTTTCTTACTCAGGATGTGACTTTGCTTTCTGTGCACTTTGCTGTTGAGTTTGGCTTAAAATACATCCTAATCCTAAATATGTGAGTGGATATTTAGGGGTGATACACACAGGCATTCAGAGAAGGGATGTTCATTGGCAGCAAGGAACCACACAAGCCACTGGAATTTGCTTACTGTTTTCTTTGCAATGGTTCTCGGGGCTGATGTAACAAGCCACAGATCTTTTCCCCTTTCTCTTTCCTTAACAAAGTTTCTCTTTTGCTGTAGGAACTACTAGAAAGAAAGCAAAAAGTGGTGCACTTTCCTTTCTCTTTGCACATTTCTGTTCTCTGGATCTTACTTATAATGTGCAGCAAGGAGTAGGGTTAAATTAACATGTGGATGTCTCATCTAGACTGGGGATTATACAGGGAAAGGACCTGCAACTAAATCTTGCAGGGTGTTCTGAATCTCAGGCTTAAGAGGATTGCTCAGTACAGGGCTCCAGAGCTGTTTGGCACTCACTGTGGTGAACATTTCAGAAGGGAGAGAAGCACAGTGAAGGTACCTTTTCCCTCCTTCCAATTGCCTGAAACCTTCCATCATGCTGTATGACTCTCTACAGTTCAAAGTAATCACCAGTCCCATTCCAGGGTGCTTTGTTCCACTTTTCTTGGAATGGGAGAGAAAAAGAGATTTCAGAACATTCCTTCACCCTCTCTTGCAACCTCTTCATATTGTGTGAGCTTGATCACCTCATAAAGGGCTAATTACTCACCCCAGGTTTCTACAACCTGTTAGGAACTGGAAGAAACCAACTGTCCCCTCATCCCCAGCTTCTCCCACATCCCCATACATTCAGCATCCTATAGGAGATAATCTAGAGAAGTGATGGCAAACCTTTTACAAGCCAAGTGCCCAAACTGCAACCCAAAATATACTTACTTATTGCAAAATGCCAACACTACAATAAAACCTGAAAACTGAGGTTTCAGTTTAGAAAAAACACCTCACAGCCAGTCCAAGCAAATATAAATATATACTTGACTCTGACCAGCCATAGGAAAGCTTGAGTCAGGGCTCGGGATGTCATCATCTGGAGCCGCTACTCCTTTCCGAGCATGCACATGGCCCCTATGTGCGCTGTTATCCGATGCTCAGCTGCTGGGGTCACTTGGCTCGCATGCCAACAGACAGGGCTGTATGTGCCCACTGTGGCAGATGTGACACAGGTTCTCCTCCACTGGCCTAACCCTACTCTGGTGCACAACCCTAACCTTAATATAGGCCAAAGTTCCATTGAAAAGAGGGCGGTTTTCAACTAGCCTTCCTAGAGTAGCTTTTTCTGCACTGCACACCATTTCTGCCCATTCTAAACACATTCCGACCATCAAAATCATAGCAGGACACCTCGTTTTTCTAACCCTAACCCTACCCTGGTGCACATCCCTAACCCTAATACAGGGCGAAAGTTCCACTGAACAGAGGGTGATTTTGAAAAGGCCTTCCTTGAGTAGCTTTTTCTGCACAGCTCATCATTTCTGCCCATTCTAAACGCATTCCAACCATCAAAATCATACCAGGACACCTCATTTTTCTAACCCTAACCCTACCCTGGTGCATACCCCTAACCCTAATATAGGGTGAAGTTTCCACTGAAAAGAGGGCGATTTTTAAAAAACCTTCCTTGAGTTTTTTCTGCACAGCTCAACATTTCTGCCAATTCTAAATACATTCCCAGCATCAAATCATAACAGGACACCTCATTTTTCTTACCTTACTCCAGTGATGTTGAACCTTTTAGAGACTGAGTGCCCAAACTGCAACCCAAACCCCACTTATTTATCGCAAAGTGCCAACACTGCAATAAGACCTGAAATCTGATGGTTTAGTTTAGAAAAAACAACTCACAGGCAGTCCATGCACATATATATGTATCCTTGACAGTGCACTGACCAGCCATGCGAAAGCTCAGATGAGTCGCAGCTAATGAGTTGCGGCTCGTGATGTCATTGCCTGGCACCGCTGCACCTTTCCGAGCATGCACATGGCCTCTATGTGCGCTGCTATCTGATGCTTGCCTGTTGAGGCAATGCTGGGGCAGCTTGGCTCATGTGCCAACAGAGAGGGCTTTGCATGCCCACTGTGGCACACATGCCAAAAGTTTACCGCCACTGCTCTAGAAGTATGGACCAGTTGTTATTTTAATGTGCAAAGCCAGAGCCCCCTAAACATGTTGAAAGTCTTGCCCTGTTTGGGCTGTTGGCAGGAGACCACACAGGGTCCAAATTCGAGGCAGTGGTGAGCAGGATCACCAGGCCCTTTCCAAACTTGCCACTCTGTAACCACCTCCCCCAAGCTGGTAGTCTCCAGACACTTTAGACTGCAGCCCCCATCATCCTTAGCTAGCATGGCCATATTTTTCAAGGGGATGGGAATTGTAATGCAACTCATCCAGAGGGTGCCAGGCTGGGGAAGAAGGCTCTCCAAGGTTCTGTTTACTTCATTTAAACCATTTAAGTCTGCAAAGCTGGCATACTGCCTGGGAGTCAGCTCCACTGAAAGCAGTGGCATTTACTTGTCACATGTACAAATGCATAGGACTGTGCTGCAAATCCTCTAACAGCTTTCAGCAAGGGACTGTGGATGCAGCTCAACAAGTTGCTGCTTTTGAGTTAAGGGCATTCGCTGGAAGAACCCACTGCAGAGATCTTGGGCGAGAAGGGACATCATAATATTCATGTTACTATGCAGGCAGCATTCTCTGAAGCACCATAACGGACTGTCTTCTGCAGTAAGTGCACCTGTGAAGATAACCTGACATCGTGCCCGAAGCCAGGTTGCCATGGAGAAACCCCCAATTTGTCCCAATGGTTGATAGCAGCTGGAAAGACCATGTCCAAATAAGATTTCTGCTACACAGTTGGTAAATAATGTGTATAATGTATTCAGTGAAGTGTACTGAGGACATTCTGACACTATTTCACAGCATCCCCTAACCTGGTATGAACCTCGTAGCTTCCAGATGTTTTGGCCTTCAACTCACATCAGCCCAAGCTAGCATGGTCAATGGTCAGCAATTCTGGGAAGCTGTGACCAAAAACATCAGGATGGCTCCAAGTTAGGGAAATCTGGGCTGCAAGTGCAATAGTATATGGGGGTGAACAACACAGAGGAATAATGGCAGCAAAATCCTAGAAATATCTATTTGGGAGTAATAACTAGGTATAAGGTTATCTAGTTATTCCTAGTTATATCTAGTTATACCTAGATAACTAGGCATAAGGTTGCAGCCTTTGATACTCCGGTACAGAATGTGACTTTAGCTCAGCTTTTAAAATATCCTAAAATTTCTGTGCGTTAGTGATACACTAGTTTATAAGTAATAAAATGTTTCTGTCTGTGTAAATAGTGTTTCTAGATGTATGAATGAAGCTTTATTTATGGCTTTTTGTTTTAAAAATAAGTTGTCCCTGTTTCATTGTTTCTTTGAGAAGTTTTGCACTACTTTAATTTGGATTTGTGTTTGTAGCAATTGAATGCACAGTCCCCATGCATGGTTATTGACAAGTAAGTTCTGTTGAGTTCAGTGAGACCTGTTTCCAGGTAAGTGTCTGTGAGATTGCAGTCTGAAATATCCATTGCGATAGTGCTCTGTCCACACCATTATTCTGAAATATTACAAATCCAGACAGAATAACTGAATATAATGAATATGATGCATGAACTCAGCTGGGAAATTCAAGGCCCTGCTATATCTGCTCAGATCACATAATCCAGAATCTGTAACAATCTAATAGCTGGAATCTAGAGGGTTAGCACAACCGTTTTAGCAATGTTGCCTAGACTAGTCTCTAGCCAGCATTTGCTATATCAGGGGTAGGGAACCTTAGCCCAGTCTGCCAAGCCTGAGCCTCCTGGGGTCTCAGTTCAGTCCTCTGCAGTGCTCCAGAAGCCACACCCCTTCCATTGGCCCCACCTCTTTTCCCAATCACTAGTCAGTTTCCCAATTTTTGAACATTTTTTCACCTTTCTAATAGGTTGACATACACCTTCAAAAAGCTTAGTGAGCAAAGCCTTAAACCACAATATGCTTGTATTATTTTGTAATATGTTTAATTTTGGCCCCACTGCTTTCTCTTCAGCTCCACCCACCATGGAATGCAGCCCTGGGGGTGTCTCCAAAACTGAAGTTAGCTCTTGGGTGGAAAAAAGCTCTCCATCCCTGTTTTAGATGATCTCTAGTGAGGAAGCACTAGATTTGTGGCTTTGCTTGAATGGAAGCTGTTGTGACTGCTACTGCCCAACCCAGCATCCATGGCTGTAGCAAGGCCTTTAGTTGTTCATCTCCATACTCAGTGCGGAGTAAGTACCAGGGTTGAGAGTGTCGGAGCAGGTGGCTTCTTGCAAAAATGGTACAGCATAACAGCACAAAGAATGTACACCATCCTTTCATATAAAAATGTCTAATTCTAATAGGACTTGATTGTAATTCATAAACATGCTAATTGCCTCTCTTTAATTACAGAAGGAAGCCAAAATACGATATAGCTACCAGCAACAATTAAGTGATGCCCTTGCAATTCTCAGAGCAAGCCATACAGTGAGTTTCACATCCTTGTTGCAGTATCTACTCTGCGTGTCCAATATTTAGTTGGATGAAAGAGGATAAGGCTACCAAGGGCTAGTAGCCATGATGGCTAGATTACCTCCTCTAGTGGAGACAGTATGACTCTAGAAATGTAAACAAGAGGAGGGTGCAGTTGTGCTCATGTCTAGCTTGTGGGCTTCCCACAATCATCTTGCCGGTCACAGTGCAAATGGAATGCTGGACTAGAGAGGCTTTGGTCTGATTCAGCAGGTACCTCTTGGGTGCTTCTTGGATGCAACTCATCCCAGTTTACTTGGCCAAGTTTGGCACTTACAGCAGGCCCCATGAGCCAGTGCATGAATGAAAAACGTCTTAGAACCAGCTGCAATGAAAGCACTCATAGTGACTAGCCAAAACTTACTTAGTGAGCAGGTAGGTAAACCCTCCTGCCTCCAGCCTCAGTCCAACCCCCCCTGTCCATATACCACACAGACTGTCTTCCTTCTTGAGTAGCATAGCTTGATGTCTTGAATTCTGCTGTCAGATTCAGGTCTGATTTCCACCATGGTGTAGTGGAGGCAAGGTTCACAGGCTCAGAGCACCAGGAATCTTTGATTAACGGATGATGTTGCCATCTTCAGGATTCCACATTCCCTCTGTTTCATGGGGGGGGAAATCTTCCCAGGAACAGTATATTGTAGTGAACTATCCCTGCTCTAATGCAAATATTTTGGAGCTTAGTCTTGAAGGAGCAAGGAAGTCCTAATACCTTTACAAAGCTCCTGCTTCTTGTGCAGATGAGAATGGTTACAACTGGTTTGCTGATGGGGATCAAGATAGCTGCCTGTATTTTTGGATTCGTCTTGAGGCTGTGGCTATGGAAATAAGATGAGCACCTGCATTTTAAAATGTTCAAGTACACTGTTGGATTTAGGGTTGCAAAAAACATCCTGTGCTTAAGAAGTCTTCAGCTGTTGTTGATGTAACCTCTGACTGTGATCAGTTGTGGAATGTCTCTTACCAAGACTTCTCTTGCTTTGATAGAAATACTTCCGTAGAGAGAGGGTATTAGCTGTGGAGACTGAAGAATCTGTAGCAGCAAAGATAGAGAGACTAAGAAACAGAATTGAAGAGCAGGCAGCAACAATTGAAAATTTAGAAGAAGAATTGCAGGAGCATAAAGAAAGAGAAAGCAGAAAGGTACACTATTTTGCAGAACCTTTAGAGCAGGAGTGGGCAGACCTTAGACTTTTGTGATCTGTGTTATTTTTCACTAGAATCTCTTCCAATGCGTGCCAAGTACAAAATACTGGCTCAGTAAGATGGATTTAAAAATTAGGAAGAAGGCACTCCTGACTACATACCTAGCCCAGGAATTTGTTTCCAACACTAGACCCGTATCTCGCACACAGATCTTTTCCTGAGAAAACTACTGTTTCCTCACAATCTTTCTTGATCTGAGCAGCCTAATTTAGGAGGGAAAGAGAGCTAGTGTGGCATAGTGGTTAAGAACATGGGACTGGGACTCAGGCAATCTGGGTTCAAGTCCCCGCTCGGCCATGGAGCCAACTTGGTGACTTTGGGCCAGTCACAGACTCTCAGCCCAACCTACCTCACAGGGTTGTTGTTGTGGGGATAAGATGGAGGAGGAGAATGATGTAAGCTGCCTTGAGCCCTTTGTAGGAAAAAGGCAGGATATAAATCGGGGGGGGGGGGGGGGTCTTTTTCTTGTTGCTGTTATTAAACCATTGTGGAATTGGAAAGATTTCCTGCAAATCACTCAGAGAATGATTGGCAGATCCCAATCTACCTTCTGCCTGTCCTGGCATCAGAGTACGCCTGTACCAAATACAGCAACAGAAATAATTGTGCTGACTCAGTGGAATACAGCTGATACCTAGGACAGCTTCAGACATGCATGTTTCCCTGCACAGATGCCATTTATGTGTTTGTTTGTTTTAGCATTTATATGCTTCCCCCTACTCCAAATGGAGTCCCCTACTCCATGTTGGACATGTAGAACAGGTTTCTGGGTGTTGTAATCCAACCCATCTAAAGGGCACCAGGTCGGGGAAGGTTGCTGTAAAGTATGAAAAATGGCTGGGATCTAGACAACTATTTCAGGGTTGAATGCACCCCAGGGGATTTTTTTAAAAAATAACTTTACCCCAGTTTTTCTTTACTTCATTTACCTTACCCACATGGAGATGGGTGTCATAACCAAAAGTGACTAAGTGCTGCCACAGAACTAGCAAGGAAGCTTCTTTATGCCATTTAAAAACCACTTATTGGAGGACTGCAGGTACAAAAGGGCCAAGAAAGGTTCTGATTGGTGCTAACGAACTGTTTGTTATGATGACAGAGAAAAATGCTTTCCCCTTCCATACATAAATATGGGTGCAAAGCCTGACTCAAGGGATTTTGCTGCCCAAGGCAAAGGTGCCCCCTTCCATTCCATGTAAAAAAGCCAACTGGACTAGCAGCTTGATCTTTCTTCAACACTGGTGATAGGGCCGCATTTTCCACCTCACTAGAAAGCAGTTAGATGCAAGCCGTGCAGCACACACTTCCTAAGCATTGCGGCCACCTCCCAGGACCTCTTGTCTGAGCCAGCTGGCTTGTTCTACCTAATGGCAAGGAGAACTTCCCAAGCTGATGCAATTGAGGGCCTTCTGAATATGGGTGTTGCTTATCTCTTTCCCACTGAGAGAGCTCTGCTTAATTTTGGTTGCATCAAACTTTTCTTTTTCTACATCATTGTTTGAAATAACCACAGGTTAGTACTTTCCTGTAACTGAACAGAATAAAATTGTTGCTTTTAATTAAGTGAAGTCAGGTGAAATGACATTATTTTCTAGCTCAGCCTTGAATAACACAACTAGTACAACTACCCCCTCTTGTGGATTTTAATCATGCAAACACCCTTATATGTAGATGAGCAATTACCATGCAAGCACTTTTCTTCCACAAAGGAAGGAGGAAAATATCTCATGGGACTACAAAGTGTGTTTGCTCCTGCTAATGAATCTTTCCTATAGGACCCACTTGGATCTACACTCCAACATAACATCATCCATGAACATTCCCCTGTGGAATTTTTTTTCATGGAAGAAAACTATTATGTTAGAATCAGCAACCAAGAACTTAAAGGCATATGATGCCTGATGGTGAGTGGGTGGATGGGTACCACAATTTGGAGTCACCTACTAGGGGCTGTTTTTCAAAACAGGAATAATCCCCTCTATCTTCATGGATGTACTTGCCAGGCAAACCTTAATACATGATCTGGTAGGGCAGCCTTGGAGCTGGATGTGAGACCTGCAGTTGTTGCAATCAGGAAAAGTGACCTGAGTACTGAATTTGCTGCCAGCCATGTTCACATAGTTGTTTACCATTGCATAGATGAGGCTAAACACATCTCAGCAAAGTGTTTGGCTTAAGTGCTTTCCCTCTCCTCTCCATAGCTAGGAGGACTTCAAGAGAATTTAGTTCAAATTTTCAAGAAACCCAGTTTAGCATCACATTCAAATCAGGGATCCTGATTTAAAACAAACCCTGGTAAGTCTCTAATCGAACCAGTTCAAACCATGGATTCTGAATGAGACTTGTCTGACTAATGGAGGGGGAGCCATGCAGAAGGAGAAGAAAGGAGCAAGGAATGCATGAGACTGATGGATTGTTCTGGCTCATTCCGGTTCATGCATGCTATGTCAAGCCATTGTGGCATTTCACGTGAGTGCAGTCATCCATATGGCTTCAGGCAGGTCAAGGGTACTAGTTTTCTAAGAGGGAAGTTTTGTGTGAACTGGAACATTAATATATATACCTGGAAACTGGAATATTAGCAAAACTACTAAAACATTGATAAAACAGCAACAGTATGGTATTTCTATTTTAAATTGTATTGAAATTATTTTCACAAATACTTACAATTTGAAACTTTTCTCCCTCCCACAATGCTTAGCAATGTTAAAACCTGAGATACATTCACAGACCCAAGGGGCTGTGTGCACAACATCTTATAGTTGAAATAAACAGCAGGCGTTTATAAAACTTTACAAATCAGTTTGGCTAGATCTTAGAATTAATGAATCTACAGATTAAACCACTATGCACAGTGATTATTATCCAGAAGGTCTTGCTACTAAGTAAATTAACATAAGACCGATCTGTGAATTGTCATGTGCTAAATGAAAGTCCACAACAGGGATAGGAAATTATCTATTATAGCCCCTGATCCCAAGGAACCACAATATTTATTTATTTATTTATTTATTGACGACATTTCCACAAATGTCACTACTGGGAATTGGTACAATTCAAATGCAACCAATAATGTATAATTATTACTATCCAGTTATAGTAATGGTATTTTTTCTGCTTACAATTTTACTCTTCTGTGATACTCTTCCTGGATTTCAGAGAAGAGTGTGGCAAAAAGCACAGGATGGAGAGAAATGATGTTTTCACCCATTTTGATTTTGCCTCTGTCATTTCCAGTACTGTCCATGGCCAGCAGCTGCCCCCAGCAGAGTACTCCCGAAGGAATGATGCTCTCAACATTGGGGAAAAGTTTTTCAAACTGGCCCGTAGGACTACTTTAGGGTAAATGCTTAGATGCTCACAAATGCCTGCCACCTCCATCCACAATAATTTACATTGACCTATTTGCTTGCAATCTGGCACCATCTAAAAATGTGGCTTCCAAAATGCAACTAGCATGTAAAGGCAACTTGCAGGTGGAAAGTAACTTCCATGGATGTAACTGATGTAAATAAGCATCCCCATGTGCCTTTCTCTGTATCACATTGTCCATCCAGATGCCATAGTTTTTGTCGGTTATATCTTTTATTGTAGGTAAGAAGGTGCATCTTAATTTAGAGGCACTATTCATTACATATGACTGGTTGTACTCAGTTGCAGGTGCTGAGCAGGCTGACAAGAACAGAACTTTTTGGAGACCATTCATTCATAAGATTGCCATAAGTCAGAGACAACTTGGTAGCATGTAACAACAACAGTTGTGCACAACAAAATCCAGCCAATTTGGGTGCCACTGTATTATCAATGCTCTTAGTATGCTCTATCATGGAAAATCTTGAGATGACAAGATGGTGAGATTTGTCATATTTGCATAAATAAATGGCATTAAGGACATGAAACACAGAAACAGAGCGAGTCAGAAGGGGCCTCCCGGGCCGTCTGGTCTGACCCCTGGCTCCAGCCGGCTCTGCTCACGACATGCCCATCATGTACATGATTCTATGCATATTCAGACACAGAAAAGCATTACAGCTCTCAGCCCAACCTACCTCACAGGGTTGTTGTTGTGGGGATAAGATGGAGGAGGAGAATGATGTAAGCTGCCTTGAGCCCTTTGTAGGAAAAAGGCAGGATATAAATTGAAAAATAAATAAATAATAAATAAATAAATATTGGGAGTTCTGTAGAGCTCTCTTGAAAATACATAGGTTCGCACCATAAATAATTTGCAAATGCTAAATGCCACCAAAAGATTCTACACTTTATGCTTCTTTTTAAAAGACATTTTAGCATTACCTCAAAACATACATTTTCCAGTGGGTAATTTAGATGGTGAAACTGGCAGTCAAGTACTTCCATAAGTTGATGGGTTTTAGGATATTTTAAGATACCACAAATATGATTGACACACTTTATTTAAGATTTGTTTAAGATTTTTGTATACTGTCTGACTACTACTATCTTGGGACAGTCTGCTTAATACTTTCATATTAGGCAGCTGCAGAAATCATTCCCTTAAAACATTTTGCTAATTGAGTATCCTCATCATAGTGGGAGACCAAGGCATTAATAATTGTATTTGCAGTTCTTGTTTATAACAGATGGTGGAGCTAAAGTTAAAGGTTAGCCATACAAAAATGGCAGCTTATGAATTAATATAAAGAAAAACTACAACTAGATTTTAATTCATCTGAATTAATCCATTTCTGTTGCTGTTAACAGGTAATAATAATTAGCAACAATAATGATTTCCCTTACCACTTTTCAGCACAAAGACCACCAAAGCAGTGAACAACAGATTAAGGGTGTATTCCATACATGTTTAGATAGGAAAAAAAATAGTTGTAGAACTCCCAGAATGCCCCAGGCATCCATGGGGCATTCTGGCAGCTGTAGGACTTTTCCCAGTGCATAACATTCACAGGATTGTGCCGTGA